GCGCTAATCTGGCACACAGCCTTTTCATACACTAGCCACTAGCTATTCTTGACAAATTCTATGATCTTCGGTCGGTCGACTTAGCAAGTAGTAGATATTTCGCCTTCCTTTCGCAAACGCATTCGAAACACTGCCAAAGCCGTCGCAGCTGTGACATCTCAATTAAGAAAAGTAGCAGCTGAACATCAAAACACTCTCTTGGATATCAGACGTGTGTGGCCTGTCCCTACTCCCATGTGCAGACGTCTGAGGTAGGCGAGTCGTCTGAAAAAACCAATTTGAACCGCCTGTAGACGGGACAAGGTTTTTCAGTCAAGGTCCACGACTTACTTGAAAACCAAGAAGCTAGGTCGCGGATTTCAGCTGTTTTAGTCACCGCGGTACCTGGTAATTCACGGAGAACGCTGTTTGCACTGCAATTCGCTGACCGATCTCCTCGCATCTTTCATCACAATTAAACTCGATCCTGAGGTAAGTAAACTTTTCCATCATCCATCAGTTCCACTGCTTCTGTGTCCATCTGCAGAAAGCAACAGACAGGAGAACCAGAAAGAACTACGTTCTTTGTTTTGTACAAGTCAGCTTCGAACTCGTAATCAGAGCTTTCCAGAGAACGATGGAATCAGTCTAAGAAGATGTCAACAAAACAGGACAGTCTGAAAACAGCTAATTTCTCACCTCCACAACTCCTACACTTGTGCATTCATTGCCCTGACTGCGGCAGACTATTCTATCCATGTACAACATGGACAGAACAAAGAACAACGCACTCTTGGCAAACATCGGTGCCAACGTTGAAAGGTCTAAACTCAGTGTCGTGTACTCCGACATAGCACCCGCTATCAATAAATAGACAGAATGGCTAGTAGCAACGGGTCATCGATCTCATTTTTGCAGGTACTTCCAAAGGTTGTTGCGCGGCATCTGGTCTTACGCTTACTCTGGGTCAACCGGGATACTGAAAATAAGTCATGTCTTATGATCTTATCTTCTATTCGATCTGTTAGACGCACGTCGACGTTCCACCAGTCCTCTTCATGTTGTGTCCTTTGCCTTTCCACCGCTGAAAAAAAGAGGTTCGTCATTTGGTCATTGGTAGACGACAGTGTTGACATCTGTTGCAAATGAGGATCCAGTTAGAAACTTGCGATGTCCATGTGTTAATCCTTCAGACAAAGTATACGACCAGCCTATCATCCCCTCACGTTGGAGGCGTCGATGAGTACATTAAAAAATCGTCCCCGACATCACATTATTGTACTTAGAATATGGTCTCGAAGTGACACGCTGCATAATGTTGGTTCCATCGCCCATTATTTATAAAATAACGAAATAACTCCATTCAACGGAGCATGACAAAATATAGTGTTATAGTGCTAGGATCTGTTTAGGTAAACATTTAAAGAGACCACGCTTCCATCGTATTTTAGCCTAGTAGTGCACAATACAGTTAGCAAGGTTATTGTAGCAACGACTTTATCCGCCACGCGATACGTGATGAATTACTTATCGAAGATTCAGCACCAATTACCTTCTAATAATGATAAATATCATCAAAATACGAACATAGTGCATGTAGGTACCCCAGAAGCCCCACAACTGATTGGGAAACGTTCGAGTAGCAGGCTACTGAATTACGATTTCACAGAAATCCTTGATTCTCATTAAGACAACTGTCTACAACAGAAGATGACTATCAACAAGGACAACATAATACAGGGTACGAGCAATTTTGTGCCAAATAAACTATAGTTAAATCTGTTCCTGATTCTACACCATATCGTAATCTGTAGACGATGGTTGACAGATCACGGGTAAAACGTCTGCGAGATCAGGAAGATGCCGTATCACCTACGTCATTATGACAGGTAAAACATCCCTGAATTCCAACACAGAAACGTTGCCAAAATTTACAATCGTTTCTCGCCATCACGCTTAATGGACGATGTCTTCATTATCGTGAGATCTGACCAGTGTTCTAAAATCCTTTTATAGTTTACATGACGTTTCATGTACCATTTTTGGCAACCTTCACTACCGAGCTTACGCTGCAGAGTTGATCTCGATTATTATGATAATGAACAGTAATGCTTTACTTATTTGATAGAAAGATCTGCAGTTAGATTGTCACTGTATGAGTGATCTTCGGCTTGCCGAAATCTTCACGAGTGACGCGACTCTGTCATAGCTATAAATCATTAATGGGTCATATTAATGGTTCTGGCTCGTCATAAGGATGCTATAGAAATGAATCACCGCCGATCGCTCTACCTTTACAATACCACGCGGAGGAGGACGCTCAAGGAATAAACAAAGGAAATCAGCTCCTAAAGAAAAGTATCATCGTCGTCCCTTGGAATCGAAACCACTGAAATAATGCACATGGCGGAAGACCGATGAAACATCATCCGGAGGCAGCTAGCCTAATGAACACTATGGGAATACCTGGCTTTGAAAATAACTAAAAGACTGAATGACTGACTATAGCAAAATCGAAACCGCGGTCTTTCGACTGCGCGTCCGCCACTCCATGCAATGAGCAATATCAACGCTTGGTGTGATAAAATGGTTGGGACGCAGCGACGCAGAAAACGTGGCAGATTATGCAAAGAAATCGACAACGTAAAACGCGGTCGAAGAATTTCATAAAATAAGCACAATTACGAAATACCAGCCAGCCAATGGGTCCGGCGAATTAGCTGGTTTCACAGGATGACCGTCGTCAATCTTGAAGTCCGACGAACGATGCGGTCTGGAAGCGAACGTCGGGGTGGAAATGGTCTTTGGAGTTTCAGTGGCGATGCCTGCAGAAGCAGCGACACGGCAAACTGCATGGTCCACGGTTCGACGGTGGGGAACGGTAGTAGCCCCGCCGACCCCTAACGCGGTTTTGCGGTCTGACACTGGTGACAGTTGCAGGTCTAGCTGGCTTTCTGATCCGGAGTCAACGTGATGCAGCGGCAGCGAATCTAAAACGAATAACTGTCAATCACTGAACAAGCGGTGAAGAAAACGAAAACAAAAGGCTGGTAGCTACTTTGATTTCGATCTCGCTTACGCTTCCGCGGGGGACACCATTGCTTGCAACGTTTCGTAAAACTGATGCAGCGGTGATGCAAACTTTCACGATATCAGTTGGGAATACCCTATTCCAAAAGGCTATGTCTATAGCTATGTGGTAAAAAAAGAAAGTAGCTTCTTGTTTTCTTTCCCACACGATGTTACCGTTTCACAGAACTCAAAAGGATGAAAAACGAGTCATCACGTTGATTCGTCGTGTTTTGACAGCTTAATGCTTTGCCCACTAAGCAACGACTATCATCCAACAACAGAATGAGATATGTACAGGCGCCAAAGGACTAGGCTACAATCCGCAATCACCTACCCGCGTTCTGAATGGAAAATGCGAAGCTGGTGTCCATGAAGCTGCCCATCATGTCGTCCTCGTCGATCAATACCGCATCGTCGTCGTCATCAGCCGTATCCTCTTTGTCAGCCAGGAGGTACTTCTCGTATACGATGCCGCCGTCCTTGACGAAAATCTCGTCGTGATACAGAATCAAGTTGCGCATCAGCTCGTTGACGTGGTTGTGGTAGAACACTTGGTCTTTGGACTCGGGAATCGGCAGCAGCGTCGGCCCGAAACAGATCGCCAGGTTGTACGGGTCCATCATGTTTTCGTCGCTAAACTCGGACAAACTAAAACAAACATACTTTGTCACGAACAATACCAATAGGAATATCACAATCGATTACTGATTCAAGAATGCGAACATGTAGCGCATGACGACGAAAACCGGCCGAGGCAGCGACTGCACTAAGTCGCGCACCTTTTCGATGAACTCCTCCTTCGTTTCAAGGCCTAAACGGTATTTTACCATAAAATGCACATCCATAAACAAGCCCTAACACAGTTTTTTACATAATTCCCTCATGGATGCAATAATCTGAAAAGCATTTACAACTAAAGAATGGACTGGTTGGTCGAAACTCTCTCGATTATAAGGTTTGTCTATTAAACGTCATGAGCAGCCACCGTTGACTGTACAGTAAAGCCCAATGAACTGAAAACAATCATGTAAACGCATTATTGCGAAATCACTGAAAATTCATATCCGGAAATAATTGGAATGGACAGCACTCCAGTTCGTCTGAGCGATTTAGCGCTTTCGTCAGTCGCTGATGTAAGATCTAAATTATTCATTGCATTCAAAAATGTTTAAAGTTCATCCTCAAAATAACAACTGCTGCTGCTCGAATCGAACTCCACTGATATTCATTTACGCTTTTCTCCTTGAATTCTGCGCGACAGCAAAAAAAATTTATAAGCAACAACGTACGAATGACTGTGAATTCGCAGTACGTATGAAAACTGAAATGCGTGCAGTTCTAAAAACGTCTGCAAATAATTTTTAAACAACAAAGAATGTTTCCTGTATCAAAAGAAAGGCATGTCGCATAAGCGAATAACTTCGATCAAGTGACCGAATCGAAATGAGTCGTTCGATACCAGTGTTCAGAAATAAAACTATCCCTTAATAACCATTATAAAACGCTAAATTAATGTAGTCTGTGATATTTCTCTGCAATTCTGAAAATGGAAAATCAATCTCATTCTAAACGACCATTGACTTGCTATCATCTAGCAGAAGCAATTATCACTGCATCGCACATCAGCAACATCAAAAACTGTTACATCCGCTGAATTTCTCGATGTGTTCTTCTATACTGTCAATCACCAGGTTCAAAAAAATGAAAGTACGGCTGTGGCATAAAAAATCGAATATATATGTATATCTAGATCCGGTATCAGAAATCCAGATGTTATGACTGCCGATGAAATTGGAATCCCACTGTATGGTAGCTACGCTAGAACCCAAAACATCGGGAATGAATTTTGTCTATATAAAACGTATCATCATAGGATATTTTGAAACGTCATAAGCGCGGATGGTAAACAAATCGGTTTATTTAAACTGTGACTGAGGCACGACTAAAGCGTGAGTAAATAAAACAGTCGCGCGATGTTCGCGTCGTACCAGAAATAGTTTACCCCCCCCCTCCCCATGAAGAATTTAACATGAATCAACGAGGTAGCATCTACAGTAAATGCTAGCAAAGCTAAAACTAAGCATTTGCTTACAGGCGCATTCGACGAACTGGTCGAACATGAACAGCGGAAACAGCGGCTCTCTGAGTTCACGGAAGTAGAGCTTCAACACGCCGGCTACTGAATTCACGTCGCTAGAATCGGTGACATTCGCCAACGGATCTTCGCCTGTGAAATAAATTCATGAATAATGGATTATAAATGTGAACAACCGAAACATCTACTTCAGTCATGGCTAAAAAGTGCTGTGAGGCATAACAGCAACTGAGTTTTACAATCGGCTTAGCAGAGAGTTCCACAGCTAAGCACAGGCGTGAAAACTGAATCAAGAATTAGCGTTTTAGTTGGTACTTCAGAACAGTATGGCAATTAGAACAGCATTAAGAGCCAGGGAAAATTCGACGTAAAATTAGAAGGCTGTATTCAAAAATCCCGGAAATTGGAACAGAAAGAAACTGTAGAACACAGAAAGATATTGAAGACTGAGAACCTCCAAGTTCCTGTCAAGCGAATACCTTCGGATGTTGTATGAAATCTGGTTGAATTGGCAACACAAAGTCAACAAGGCTAGTCTTTACGGCTGGTTGTGCAAACAATCCAATATCATGCGTAACTACCATAAGGATCCTAGAAATCCTCATAAAACACCCAACTTGGTTGAAACAACGACGTCACTACAACGCAGTATTACTTAAGGAACGTCGCGGATATATGCATCCTCTCCGACTATCAAGGCCGTAGACTCCATTCTTCAGTGATTCAGTTTTTACCTCCGTGTTGGAATACTTGTCTTTGTCATCAATGTCACGAAAGCCAACCCACCCAACTGTACCTACTATTCTACAAGATGCGTCAGATAGGTTTCTACCGGTATTTCGCAGATGCAAAAAACGCCTTAGAAGAAAAAATTGGCCGGATTGAAGGAAACTATCTAAACGGTTGTTCAACTGGTGCATTCGCCGTTGTGCAACAGTACCAAAACACTGCCGACAAAGTTTTTGAAATGATCAACCCTGCATCGAGGAATTACTATTAGAGATTAAATTCATCTTCAATCAACTTAGCGTCCTGCTGCTCAGGACCCAGGACAAAACTCATTCATTCTGTTTTACTTTTCAATTTCAATGCTCACACAGTGCATAAGCAAATAAACCATTGACCGAGAGACTGACGCAACTGCATCTGGAGGGAATCTCCTGTGGACTTCGAAAAATACCGTAAGACGATTCAGTCTTTGGGCATTCGGCTCCATGACTATCAACTCAGCCAACGTTTGTCATGGCATGTACTTTGTATGATTTCTGGTCGCTTCAATGAAAAGACAGAACAGGTTTGTTAAGAATATTCAGACGAATTCTATATTCAAGGCAACGATGAACTGACGGTATGGCTCACTGACCACCCGACCACTTCACCACAGCGCTTGCCTTCGTCAAGGAATAAGCATGAGAATATGCCAGAGATAATACCTTTCTCGAACGCTTCTTTGAAGGCGTTGATTTCCAGCTGCGAGCCGCTGACTCGGAAGACGCCTTGATGATGGAGACCTAAAGAAAGCATAACTAAGCTCATTGAATAAAACCATGCATCAATAGGTGCCTACCAAAAAGACTAAGCATGCGGACGCAGCTTCGAATGATCAACGGAATCTCCTGACCGGTAATTTCCACGTATTCCTCCAAGCTGCCGCCGAACAGTTTCGGCGTTTGTTCGGCGTTCACCGCCAAACCAATGCGTTTTCGTCGCGGCTTTCTCGGAACGTGAGCGATGATGCTATTGTTGATGGTGATGGCATCAGCCTTAGATGACGAGTCCTCGACCTCATATTGCGACAGCGACCGACCGTGTTTTTCTGACCGAACCTCACTCGGTATCGAGTCGCAGCTGACGCCAAGCGAGTTCTTGATTGCCGAGTACCGCGCTTCTAATCTGCTAATCAAATTGCCGGTCAACAGGTAGTTGTGAAACTTCTAAAAAAAGAAGATACTGAAAAAAGAGAATTAAAGTGACAAGCTTGGGCTGTAAAAATGGAACAGTATTATATATATGTATACAGGGCACAGTTCCATGGCATATGAATGCTGCCTAGACGCTATATATATGTAAGGTACAAATCTTACATCGTATATCCGGTTTCGATGAGATTCTGGTGATCATAATCAAATAAATATCCGAAATCGGAATATCCAAAAAGGTTAATAGAGTCTAAATAATAGATCTACCATATTTCTAAGGCCTGACAACTTTGATTAATGATATAGGAATACACAAGCAATGTTCCTTTAGGCAGCAAACATCAAATTTCTCTTCAGATGCATTTGTGTCTCGAACAGATTTTGCCAAGTTTTATGTTGTTCGATAAACGTTTTCAACACAACACCTTGCATTAAAGGATCGTCGGTGGGCTCAGAACGACAGTTTTTGAAATCGCTCACTGATCAGTACCTGCTGGTTCATGACGCGGTACAACGCATTCTGACGATACTTCTTAGACAGCGGTCGAGAGGATCTATATGATGTTTCAAGAGAGCGAATACTTCATCCTGTATATGAGCTACGTAAATACGGCTACTTTCAAGATGGCAACCTTTGTACTCGTTTTTACGGTCTAAATTTTCAGTGTCATATGTTTTCTATTCCTCATTCCATGGCATCGAACACGACGCCGGGTGACGTGCAACCATCCCGTACGAATTGAGTAAATGCTAGTTCACTCAAGTCGTTTCGATGTCATGTCAGCTAGAACGAGATCTAGATGCCTTTTCAGTGCTAGTGGCAACCACTGTGCCTATAGATTTGTTTTGTCACTCGTCTATCTGCAGCCAAATACTCTAGAACCGCTATACAACTTCGGTGCCAATGGTCAGACAGACATTAGCCTTGGTTCGACCAACCTTTATCCACTTCGTTTTTTCTCATATCAGAACAAACGTTAATGTCATAGCTTTGAAACTATCGGCAAACAATAATTTATCATAAGCAAATGAAAAAAAGTGTATATAGATATTGCCTGTTCTTGCTGCAGTCGTAGGTTCACTCTCTCGTCTTGGCTGGAGCAGCCAGTTAAAAAACATCGAAAATAGCAAAGGAGATTCATTCCACGCCTGCTCCTTGTTTTACTCCTGATACTGTAAGAAAGAATTAACCTAGCCTGTCACCAGTCTTCATAACACTTATGGACGAAAGATCATTATTGTTTTTAATTTTGCGAATAATCTCTGGTTGCAACACATGCTGTTCAAGAAATTTGCACAAAGCACCTCCCATGTGAATGAATCAAAGGTTTTGATCAGCAAAAAATGCAAAGAATTTGGATTCTCTTTCTCTTTCCACCTCATTAGCTGTGTCACTGTGAATACCTGGTCCAAACACTTTCTGCTTGTCCTGAATTCAGACTACGGATTATTGGATCCACGCGGTGAACAGACAGTAAAGCTTGCAGAAATTCCCTGATTTCAATACGTGTCGGATCACCTGAGGATCACGACTGCTATCATTAACCAAAGCTGCTCTGAAGTACTTAAAATAATCCTCTCATCCGACACAAGAGAGAATCAGTTACGCACTTACCACCTACATCATAATAACAAAATGTGAACCATTATTAAAATCAAGCTAGGAATTATTAATTCAGCTATCAGGCCAAGGGTAGAGAAATAAACGGAAGCGATGTTTCGCATAGTCATGTGGAAAACGGTGACCACGGTGCAAAATATAATGACACAGATGAAGCATCCTGTGGTTTGATGAAAAGCAGACCTTAACCGGATACATTACACTATCGAAGGATTGAGACACGAATTACAGCTGGTCAGACATGAATCTTAGCAGCTTTACTGTTCTAAGCAAAAACGGCGAAAGCAATTAGAAAAATCTGGGATCATACCGCAAACCCGATAATACTTTGACCAGTTTATGAGCAAAAGGTTCACCTGTAAGTAAAATTCTTCGATTTCG